TATCTAGTATTAGATAACGGTTCATACCTGTAAATCAATCATGGGGCTTCCTATACGTCTTTTCCAGCCAGCAGTCTTGAGAAGGGACCATAGAACTGCCAGGCCGCCCAGAACACCTAGTGCTATCTGCAGGAACAAGTAAGCAAATCATATGGCTTTGCCTATGGAAATGAGCAGACAAGTTCCAAAGAAATTAAAATTTGGTGGGAAGAGAATGCTTACATCAGTGTGAATGTGAGCCTCTGATTGATTCATTTCATAGTCGACTGAGAAGGAAACCTAAACAGTGAAATTGTTAGAATGTCAAAAGAATAATTTTACTAATTAAATCACCTGTACTTTATCACCACCATCCACAGAACGTAAGTTTATGGGTCATAAAATAGAATTACTTAAAATAAAATGTACATCATTGGCTTCTCATTTATTTGCTAAGTTAGTCTTCAGATTTTGGCAAAAGAATGTCATAACACCACAGATAAAGTGGATGTTGTCAGAAAAATAGTGCTACAATATAGAAATTTGAACAGCCACTGGTAAGGAATTTTCAAAACAGCATGGCTGCATATGTAAAACTGCTACTGAGAGATTGTTTAAAAAATAATACAGAATAAAATGTAGGAAGTGCTAACTCAGTAACTCCTGTCTACAAAAAAAAAAGTAATCTGGGAATGGAAAATTGAAGCATAAAATATTATCACAGACTATTGGGCATGCTTTTCTTATATGGCACTCGGTCATATTCGTGAGATGGACGGCTAGGTATTAAGTACAACTATGGGAAAAATAGGAAACCAAGGAATTGATCAATGCTTAAATAAATCAGAATGGAGATTTTGTGAGGATGAACCAGTTTGTAATCATTCATTTTAATGGCCATTCAGTAAGGGTCTAGGACAATTGAACATGGCTGCCTGGCCATGTCTGCTTCACGGCATACCTCCTGCTGCAACTGACCCATCACGGGCATTTATCCTCGGCTGGCATGCCTGTGATAAATTAGCTGTGGCGGGGGGCCCATAGTGAAGTGGGCGCAGCTATGTGCCTGTAGTTCATTGTCCCATTCCGATTCAATAAACTGGGTTAAACAGGTAAGAGCTTATTTCTTGCTACTAAGCTCTGACTTAAAAATATGTAAAGCACTTTTTTGTTAACCGTGAAACCTTTATAATGATCAAAATTCAGGGCTTTCCTGTTTATCAGTGGGATTATTCATTATTCAGCAGGACTATAACTTGGTTATGCTGTTTTGGTTGCCTGGCTAAGCTACTGTTAAATGTAGCTGAGAGACAGAGAAGAGCTTACCATTATATTCTCAGCATTGGGATTCTGGATGAGAACATCACTATAGGCAACTGTTATCAGAGGTGGATAGATGGCTCCCCTTTGAGTGTTCCGCACAAGACGAATGCTGCAAAAAGGAATGCAATGGAGCATTAGAAAGAAAATCGCAATTGGCACCATTGGAAGTAAGGTAACAACTAAGGAACGGTTGCTGGAATTGGGTATGTCTAGTTTAATGAAGAGAAGGATGAGGGGGGACATGATAGCAGTGTTCCAATATCTCAGGGGCTGCCACAAAGAAGAGGGAGTCAAGCTATTTTCCAAAGCGCCTGAAGGCAGGACAAGAAGCAACGGATGGAAACAAATCAAAGAGAGAAGCAACCTAGAACTAAGGAGAAACTTCCTGACAGTTAGAACAATTAATCAGTGGAACAACCTGCCTCCCGAAGCGGTGAATGCTCCAACACTGGAAGTTTTTAAGAAGAAACTGGACAGCCATTTGTCCGAAATAATAATAATAATAATAATTTAATTTGTACCCCGCCCTTCTCCTCATAGGACTCAGGGCGGCTAACAACCTCATAAAAACCACAATACAATACAATAACATCTATATTAAAAACCGAATTAAAAGGAAATATTTAAGAAGGCCAATCATTAAAATTATCCTTAAAATTTCCCTTAAAAAACCCCGCTAAAATTCCCTAGGCCAGACCCGCTTGTTGAAAAAGCCATGTCTTTAGGGCGCGGCGGAAGGAGGGGAGATCCGGGATCAC